ACTTTTTTGTTTGTTTGTATGTCATTTTACCTAATGTCATGAATCAAAACTTTTCACCTTTTCACAATTGTACAAATCTCGGTCCATATTTAAAAAGTGAAAAAATTACAGTTAAATAAGAATTAAACTAGAAATGTGTCCATAGGACACTGATGCCCCCACACGCCACTGTTCTGTCAATCTTATGACTCTAGGTCAAATATTTTTTTGACTACATGTGCCACAAGTTGAAAACTAAAAATCAACAAAGGGCCATAATTCTGTTAAATTTGGTCGCAGCAAAAAATACTTCCTTTACTACGATCTACACATTAAGGTTGTTAATCCCTGGAAGTTTAAGCAAAATCTGCCATCCGGTTTAAGAGGAGTTGCGTTCACAAAATTTCTACAAAGTATAAAGTGAAAAAATCAACAAAGGGCCATAATTCTGTAAAATTTGGTCGCAGCGAAAATTCCTTCCTTTACTACCATCTACACCTTAAGGTTGTTCATCCCTGTAAGTTTAAGCAAAATCTGCCATCCGGTTTAAGAGGAGTTGCGTTCACAAAATTTCTACATAGTATATAGTGAAACAAGAGCTGTCGGTAGGACAGCACGCTCGACTATTCTAAGTGCTTGATAGTAAAAGAGCCTTGATAATGTTAAATTTTCTAAGTTCACAAAAGGGCTAATTTTTTTTTTAATTCATGTTATAGGCCTTAGAGAGAGCCTAATTATACAGTATTGGCTTGAATATTTGGAAGGTAATGTCACAAGGGTGTTTTATTGAGTATAATAATACTAATTACCTATGAATACATAAAATTGACAGAAAAGGTACAAAGGCTTGTTATTAAGATGTTTTATCAAGTAAATCACTGCTTTATTATTATGAATGCATAAAATTGTCCCAAAAAAAGCACAAACCCTTCAGTAGTTATGGAGATAACAGCTTACAAGCAAAACTTTACCATGAATTTTTTAAGTTGAAAAAGGGAAGAAAAATCAGCCTAAATGCAAGATAGAATTATGGATCTTTGTCAGTGACCTACAATTCTGACCCTAAATGCATATGTGAAGTTTTAAATAAATATCTTTAATAGTTATTGAGATATGTAAAACTTGCATATAAACATTAACCAAGAGACTAAGTAGAAAAGGGGATATGAATCAGCCTTAATGCAAGATAGAGTTATGGAACTTGGTCAGTGACATACAATTATGACTCTCCAATTATGACCCAAAGCACATGTGTAAAGTTTCAAGTAAATATCTTTTAAGACCTTTAACCTTTAACCAAAATCTCTAAGTTTCAAAGGGGCAAATAATTCTGCAAATATTGCAGACAGAGTTATGCAATTTTGCAAAATGATGTACATTGTTACTATAAAAAAAGTATTGTAAAATTTAATTGAATATCTCAAGCAATAATTGAGATATTTGACTTTACAAAAAAACTTTAACCAAAATTTCTAAGTTTCAAAGGGGCATAATTCTGTCAATATTGTAGGCAGAGTTATCCAACTTGTCAATCTGATGTACCTTATTACTATAAATAAGTATTGTAAGTTTCAATTGAATATCTCAAACAATAATTGAGATATTTGTCTTTACAAAAAACTTTAACCAAAATTTCTAAGTTAAAAAGGGGCATAATTCTGTCAATATTGTAGGTAGAGTTATCCAACTTGTCTATCTGATGTACCTTGTTACTATAAATAAGTATTGTAAGTTTCAATTGAATATCTCAAGCAATAATTGAGATATTTGACTTTACAAAAAACTTTAACCAACGCAGACGCGGACGCTGACGCCGACGCCGGGGCGACTACAATAGCCCTCATATTCTTCGAATAGTCGAGCTAAAAATCAACAAAGGGCCATAATTCTGTAAAATTTGGTCGCAGCAAAAATTCCTTCCTTTACTGCCATCTACACATTAAGGTTGTTCATCCCTGTAAGTTTGAGCAAAATCTGCCATCCGGTTTAAGAGGAGTTGCGTTCACAAAATTTCTACATAGTATCTAGTGAAAAAATCAACAAAGGGCCATAAATCTGTTAAATTTGGTCGCAGCGAAAATTCCTTCCTTTACTACCATCTACCAATAAGGTTGTTCATCCCTGTAAGTTTAAGCAAAATCTGCCATCCGGTTTAAGAGGAGTTGCGTTCACAAGATTTCGGGACGTACGGACGGACTGACGGACGGACTGACGGAATGACGGACGGACTGACGGACGGATGGACAAGTGCAACGCTATATGCTCCCACATTGTGGGGGCATAAAAATAGAGATAATATATAAAGGTCACTCACATGCTGCCTTGAAAGTAAACTGATAATACACATAACAAAAAAATTGTAATAAAATAATATCATACCAAATTTTTTCCTGTTTCTATATCAAACATCTGTATGGACTTATCATAACTGCTAGTTACAAACCTAATTATAGAAAATAATTCAAACTATATGATCATTCACAGTAGAAATAACATGAAATTTCAACAATATGTTTTATACATTACAATACATGATATCAAATTACCCAAAAGGTGTTACAAAATTGAAAATTTTATGTTGCAATTGTTAACTTAAATAGTTGATTGACAACTTATGGAGTACACTTATGAATGAAAAAATTTCCATTAAATGATAAAACAGACAACAAAAAAATGGCCCAAAAAGCCTGAAAAATTTCACTATCAGGTTGTAATTTTTGTGTGGGTACTTCAAAGTAAAGGAAGACCTGGTTTACAAAATGACTGGTGCATAATGACTTAGTTATAATGCATCATTAAAGCTTTTTGCACGCCTCCAGATGAGCCAAAATATTTCAAGAAATTCAATTATTAAGATCTTAAGAAAAGTGAAAAGATTCAATATCTAATTAATTATTCACATGTTATGTGCCATTTATGACTGATTTTGCAGCATCAATCACTATAATTCTACTGCGTTACTTTGAACACAGTTAGAGGTATTTATGTATATTTTTACCTCTTTTTGGTAATTTACGTGGATTGCAAGTGCCATTTGCAATGTGTGAATTATTTTCTTTGGTCTTTTCACAGTATTTTACTTTCAAATACATTTTCAAAATTTTTGTGAACATTAACATAAATCTGGAGGCAAGCTGCTTTAAAACCTCTTATTGACTCATTAATGTCTCTTTAATTGATAGAAACATCTTACTTTGATCCCTCTGTGCAACCTCTAGCCTCTGTGATGATATCAGTATGTTTTGTGTTGTACGTCTTTAAACAGACTCCATCTTCAGTATTAAACAGCTTTACTGTACGGTCACTGGACCCAGTGAGAATCTTCTCATCGTCGTCAAAAAATTCACAGCTGTTAACTGCTGCATTGTGGGCTTTAATAACTTTAATGCGCACCTGAAAAAGTGAAAAAGGAAGTATACTTCTTTGTGTAGTGCTAGCAAAATAGGCAGTGGTAAAGAACTGTCAGTAACATTGTTCACACCTTATTCCCAGACCTGTAGACAAAACACTTAATTAAAATAAATGCCATCATAATATTTTTTTGTGATATGAAGTAAAACAGTTTTTACTGAAATATTTACCTTTGAAAAAAAAAAAAACACCCAAAAATCACCCAGAAAACTGTGATGTTAAGTTTATTCATGAAAATTAAGTCCTTATTAGCCACAATAATAGTAAATACTAGAAAACAGGATACCATTTTATGGCCTAAACAAAACTACTACAGTCCAGGTGTAGATGGGAGTAATACACTTTCCAACTGTTCTTGTTTGTTGAAAAAAAGTACTGCAATTGAGGTAAAGTCTAAAGATTACTTGAATATTTTAAAAAGAGCATAACCTTTAGTAATTTTAACTGAAACATGAAGTGTTACATCAGTAAAGATGACATAACTGAAATTTAAATGATGATGAACATGTATGTTTCTCAAAAATGCTGACCTTAGAACAGTCTATGTCTGGCCCAATTAATCTGTCTTTTGATTAAATATTTTGTTGTTTCCTTGTGTCATTAACAGAATGTACTTAAAAGTTATAGCTGATAACAATTTTTTTGTACTGTAAATTCATTGTTTTTTAGTCCAACTAATTGTACTTTTTATTGCGGTATTGTGCTATTTTGTGTATGGGCAATATCTGCCCTTTACTTTATATATACCGTAGAAGCGAGACTCTGACCTAGAACAAAAATATCTCAGAATCAAGCTTTGGTACAATATTTTGAATGTCTTGAAGTAACAAGCAGAGGCATGAAATACCCAAATACACCCAAATTTATTACCCAAATATACTCAAATATAATACAAATATTTCCCAAATAATACTCAAATATAGCAATATTCATTTTTGTTTGTATAGAATATAGATTATGATGAGAATTGGGTATTTGGTTATATCTTATTGAAAGTATCCCCGTACTGCCTCTTTCCGATCAGCTAACAGATTTTTCTACAATAACTGACAGTGAAATTATATTTAAAAAAAATCTCTTTCAATTCTGCGAATATTATCATTTTAGCTAATAAATGCACCAACTTTTTAGAATTTTACCTGAATTATTATTATGAATCGAGGACAAATCATTACTGACCCATTTTCCTGTTCTTCAAAATTTCACAACCACTTTTCAATCAGTTAACAAAATATAAACTGTACCACATATAAATTGTCATACAATGTTAAAATATAATCAGTTATGTATTATGGAGAAATTTTGACAAACTCAACTTCAGATAAATGGTAATAAACAATTTTAACCTAATTTTAATGCCATTTTTCAATCTTGATATCTATTTGCAGTGGTAAAGCTGTCGTAATTGGGGTATGGATGTACATTTCAATTTGCATAACAGAGAAAGCATGTTCTTGAGAAATTTTTAGGATCTTAGGGTCTATATGACCCCATTCTAGTGAAAGCTTACTGAAAAGTTATCAGAGAGAATGTTTTTCCTTGGTTAAGTGACTGTTACTTTACTGACGTATTACCTTAAAATTAAGAATTGTATGGTAAAATATGTACATATTAAAATAATAGCTTTCGAAGTGCAGTAGACATTATGACTTCACGATATTGAAACAGTTGTCCAACTTTAATATCCATTTCTGCAGAATGACAAAAAACTGAGTCTGTAAATCAGTTATTTTTAGAAAATTATTGCGATTTGTAACTGGGTAAATAAAGGATTAGTGGAAAACACACATTTTACATATTTTGAACTAAAATGCTATCATTTTCTTTTTTATCGCCATAATTGACATTGCTGCTAATAAATGTAGTCAAGGTGAATACAAGATGTGCTTACAGTTTGGTTACATGACAAATAAGGTTAAAAATAAAAAAAATCTAGGGATGATTGAAAAGTGGTTGTGATTGAAAACTGGCAGTATGTGGATATATATTGTATTCATCATTTAAAACAGCATTTTAGTATAAAATATTTATTTTTAGTATATATACATGGGCAATTGTTGGGTATTTTTGTATTTCGTGCACACCAGTGTGATAAATTTAATTAAATCACAAAATGAAAGTGAAAACTTGTTTTTGATTTTTTTTTGTCTACAAGATACAAGAAACTTATTTTAAGTCGGTTTTACATATTACAAGAAACATGAGCTAATTAGCTATTTACCGACAATTGTTTTGTATGTTTTGTTTTTTTGAGAATGGGGAAGCTTTAACCAAACTCAAAAGTGAGAAGGTAAAAATGAGGATGACTTGGCTTAGGGACGTGTTAACACTTTTATATCTATTTAGTATTTATGTGTAAAACCTGGGCAAGTTCTTCATGTTCCCATGTTGCTTTTTGAACAAGATCAATATCACTTTTTATGTCGTCCTCTGTTGCTATTGCATCAGTCATTATTGCGTAGTTTTCAAGTTTATGGGAATAAAAAAATCCCAAAATGCAGAAAATTGTGTTGCTGTGTAAACTACTCCAAATTGTCAAATGTCGTAAAAGTAAACATAGCCTTGTTACATTTAATATTTGCCAAAATAGTATTGAAATATCTGAAAGACGAAAGATTTATAAAATCTAACTCGGCCGCATGAATCTAAACGTTCCTGGTGAAAAGTACAATTTTGGCAAATTTTGACATAATTTACGACATCAAATCAAAATGGACGTCGACGACACAGATGAGCCACAGACAGGTTAGAATTTTACTGAAATTTACCATATCTTTTCAAATTTATTTGATTGCTTTTCATGTACACTTGTTTAAGAAATATTTATTTATATGAAAATGACGTATTATTTTGGCCATGTTCGTTCCAGATCGCAAAAGAATGGGATTTTATAAACTTTTTTTGCCAAATTTTTGTTGGTCACTTGTTGTTAACATGTTAAATTTGCAGGTGCTCTTTGTTTCTGACCGAAATCATTCATGTTTAAAACTTGAAATATGAACTTAGAGCTTATGTACTTTGTATGCAACAATGTATATATAGTCCAAATTATTGGCCTGACAATGGCTTGCCTATAAAGATCTTTAGTTAAAACCACAGACCAGGGCTCTCGATTGACACGGGGATCCGGGTTTTGACTCGTGAAAATTGGGAAATGCACAAATTTGACACGTGATTAAAACCGCTCAAGAGTCAATTTGCCACATGGGATTTTCAGCTATTCAATAATAATTACCTTTAATCCACCCCTAATTACCTATCAAATCCTACATATGTTCAAATGACACTCATTAAAAATGTCAACAGGCAGTATAAGCCGTGTATTAAATGCTTTACACACCACAATTGTTTATACCCTGTGCACTGAAGCACGACAATTCAGTGGCTGCAATTTGACAGTGCTAAAAATAGCTCTACACAACTGATAAGAATAACATACTTGAGGTGTCAATTAATGATTGCTTTTAAAGGTTTATAATACGTCTTTGATTTACTTGGAGTACCTGTGCATTTGTTATTTCTTTTTCCATTAAATATTCCTGGTACATTTTGGTATTTAAAATTAATATGATATATAGCATACCAGTAAAGATATTTTTTTTTATATATTTTATACATTTAATCAGAAAAGCTGCTGCATATTTTATTCTTTCACAGCAATTAATTTTTTTGTTTTATTTGTTGTTTGTTTGTTTTTTTTTAGGGGGATATAGACATAAATAATTATGGATTTTTTTTTGTCAATTTAGACTTTGGAATCTCCAAAAATGACCTCCAATACAGTCATTTTTGTAACATAAAAATGATTCATGTAGTCAAATGACACTAGAAAAAAATGATTTGACTCATGAAAATTTTGGCCAAAGAGTCTTTGACTCGTGAAATTCTGACCCTACTGAGAGCCCTGCCACAGACACTTGGGGTTATGTGTGTGGCTCCCCTTCTTGATCCACACTTGCATACACCTGAACATGTCTATTTTTATCTTGATAACCGTACGTCAAAATATTTTGCATATTATTACAACCTGGTCACATGTCTTGAACATGAAACTTGTTTCCGCTATTTTGACAACATTAATTTTAAGGTGATTCTGCTTTGTCAGCCATGTTTGTTTTCACAAAGTCTGTCCAAAGTGAAAGTAGGCCAAAATTCATATAACAACAAAGCTCACATTGTTATATGATGAGCCATTTGCAAGTACACTTCCAGTTCTATGTTTTAAAGACAATTATAAACAAAAATAAAAATGATAACAATAAGAATATTTACCTTGAATGTGCCACATTTCTGAAGACCAAAAACATTTTGTTGCAAAGTTTTATGCACATTTCATGAATGGCAAAATCCTTTTTAAAGTCTGTTTTAGTGCCTACAAAAGCTATTTTTTGCAGCAAATACAAAAATCTTTCAAAACTTAACTCCAAATAAATCCGTATCTTATGTCCTTCTAAGCACATGGCCTCCATTATTTTTTGTAAAAAAGTAGTGCAAGAAAACAATCATCATTTATAGCCTTATGAACTACAATTGAAATGAAAACACAATCAAACTTTAAAATCTAACCTTTTTTATGTGTAACAGTGAAGTGTGTCTGTTTGTCATGCACACAAGTAATAGGTAAATGATGTTTATTTTCATGGTACTACTTTTTTACACATGTCATGGTGGCCATGTTTTTTCAAGGTCAGATAAACTACTTTCCTAAGATTCATGTTTTTTAAAGTTTTTTGTATTTTATGCAAAAAATAGCTTTTGTAGGCACTAAAACAGACTTTCAAAAGGATTTTGCCATTCATGAAATGTGTATAAAACTTTGCAACAAAATGTTTTTGGTCTTCAGAAATGTGGCACATTCAAGGTAAATATTCTTATTGTTATCATTTGTATTTCTGTTTTAAATAGTCTTTAAAACATAGAACTGGAAGTGTACTTTCAAGTGTTTCATCATTTTACATTGTAATCTTTGTTGTTATATGAATTTTGACCTACTTTCACTTTGGACAGACTTGGTGAAAACAAACATGGCCGACAAAGCAGAATCACCTTTAAAAAGTCCCAAAAATATCTTAATTTCATAAAGATAACATCGTACAACTTCCTTTGATGTGAGACAACTGGAATGAGTTTCAGCACTGTTTTGCGCTTTCATTTTAAAGCCGAGAACCAGACATAATTCTCTTACGCATAAAACATGTGCATTTATACACGGAATCATCACATCCGGAGGAATTTCATCCAGCCAGTTTGATAACCACGTGAAATTATAAAGAAACATAATTCAAGTAAAATAATATTTAAACAATGAATGTAAAAGTCTTAAAGTAAAAAAGAATAAAATTGTTCTATATTTTTATTGTTTACCTTGTATTTTCGCTCCCAAAAATATAGGCCATGCGCACATGTGTGAGACGATAACAACATACATTTTCATTCATTAAACTTTTTTAGGAAATTTTCTATTTCCCTACAATTTTTCCGCTGTAAGTTGGGGGAAACATTCCAGTCGTCATGAATTCGCAAACAAACATGTGACACGGTTAAGAAAATTTAAGAAAATGTGTAAAGCTTGGAAGAAAGGTACGATCAGATAGTAACATAAACTCAACATCACTAATTCCGCATCATCATTCAGTGATTTTTAGCTCGACTATACGAAGTATATGGAGAGCTGTCCTACTCGCCCCGGCGTCCGCGTCCAGATTTCAGATTAAAGTTTTGGTGCAGTAAAATATATTTCCCTATAACTTTGTCATTTCTTAAGTTATCTACTTCAAACTTCAAATATATGATCCTTATCATCAACCACATCGTATGTGACAAGGTGCATAACTCTAGTACCAATATTTTCAGATTTATCTCCCCTTGAACTTAGAATTTTCCTTAAAAAATACTATTTTTTACTGTTACTTTTTTTATTTCTTAAGGAATAAACTTCATACTTCAAATATATGTTCTTTACCATCAACCACATCTTATGTGGCAAGGTTCATAACTCTAGCACCAATATTTTCAGTATATCTCCCCTTGAACTTAGAATTTTCCTTAAAAAAAATATTATATTTTACTATTACTTATTTATTTCTTAAGGGATCAACTTCATACTTCAAATATATGCACCTTATCATTAACCACATGTTATCTGACAAGGTTCATAACTCTAGCACCAATATTGCAAGAATTATCTCCCCATAAACTTAGATTTTTTTACTAGAAAAATGTTATTTTTTACTATAACTTTTTTAGTTTTAAAGGTATCTACCTCAAACTTCAAATACTTATTCCTTATCATCAATTACATTTTATGTGACAATGTTCATAACTCTTGAAGCAATATTTACAGATTTATCTCTCTTTGAACAGGATTTTCTTTAAGAAATTTTATAACTTCTTTACTTTTTAAGATATCTACAGACTACTTCAAACTTCAAATATATGTTTCTTATCATAACACACATGTTGTGTGACAAGGTTCATAACTCTAGCGTGACTATTTCTAGAATTATTCCCCTTGATCTTGGAATTTATGTTAACAATGTTATTTTTTTACTATAACAGTATAACTTAATACATTATAATACATAATTGATTTTTCTTTCATAGTTTTGTCTTCCTTACTGCGTCCAGTATTTTATTAGGCGAGCTTCGCTGTCTCCTGTGACAGCTCTTGTTTTCCCTGTATTTACAGCTGAATAAAGGCTGTTTCCCCTTAGCCCTAGCTCAAAATAGGTATATTTTCCCCTTATAAATCTAATTTTTTCCCCCTGAAATGCCCTGTGCACTTCTGCACCAGAAATATTACTAAACAGCTTCTGACTTATCATATCAGCTAGAAGACAGAAAGCTGCCTCTATGTACCATGCATTTTGAATTGAATTGAAATCGAAATTTTATAAATGTGTGGGTAAATTCCATTCTCATTTGTTGGAATTTGATTTTCCCCTTTTCTGATTTATTGCGCTTTACTTTCCCCTTTAGAAAGCCACAGGTTGTTTTGAAAATTGGAAAAAAACCACTGTCATTTATTTCACGGTAATGGCATATTTTCATGTGAATAAGTTTGAAACAATCATCATTTTCTAAATGTTCTTACTTGTTGAAAAAATAGATTTTGAGTTACAAAGTAAAAATAGTTTTAATATTTAAAATTAAGCAAAAATACATGTAGAAATTTTAGCTAAAAGATGAAAAAACTGAAATGTAAACCATTTACCGTGGTTTAAATGATGACATACAGTTTTCAAAATGACCGACATATGGTCTATGTCTGGCCCATCAAAACTGATTTTGACTGAATATATTGTTGATTCCTTGTGTCATACAGCAGAAAATCCCGATATGTTACAGCTTATGACAATTTTTGTACCATAAGTTTCTTTTGTTATTTGCTTCCTTGTTTCGAAGCGTTAAGTACTGTGAACTAAGAGGAGCACAGTATAATTATGTTTATTTATTAGAAGAATATATACCTCGACTGATTTACACAAGAAAGAAACGGCATGCGATAACAAAAATGCTTGAAATTCATGTAGGTCAGTTGTGTTTACATTTCGAAGCTTGGTATCTTCAGGAAATTGAAGCGTTGGTAAAAATTGACTTTTTTAAAACATTATGAAATTCTATTCAAACTTGTTCACGTGTTAGACACTTAACCGTCTCATACTAATATATGCAAAAATTTAAAACTAATTCTTACAGTAATAAATAATATTTTTAGTTCTTAATATTCAGGTGTGGAGAAGGGT